ATCGGGACTCCGGGAGTTCAGTGAGATCGGATTGTCAGCCGCGAAAGTGATTCGGATTCCCACTAAGTGTCGTGTTGGTGAAGACCCGCACCACGAAACGTGATTCGGGTCTTGGGTCTTGGGGTCTTGGGGTCTTGGGGTCTTCGGGTCTTCGGGTCTTCGGGTCTTCGGGGGCGTCGGGGCAAAAATGGCTGCATTCAGCCTGACTGCATCACACAATTTGCTTGGGTTCCTGGCGGGGTTCGCACACCCGTTCACGTGCACCATCTCGGCACTGCAAGCACTCCTGCCGAATGTTACGCACGCCTGCTCAAGTGACTCCGCGCAGCACACGTGCATGCCACATCACGAGCGCACCCGCTGAACTGCGCCCGCGCAGCACTGCGCACACACGCGCGGAACAGATGTTTGCCGCCTCTAAAAACCATGGAGCGTCCTGGCCAACACGACGCGCACTAAAAGGGACACCCCCATTGATCAACCAGGGGTGTGTTACAATTCGGGGTTGACACCTGGCAGTGGAAGTAGCCCTTGTTGATACCCCTTGGTTTTCGGGTTGCCAATTCTCTCTCTTTTTCTCTAATATATATATATATATATGTATATATTTACACGTATGTGTATACACATACATACCTTTCGTGGAAAGGGGCAGGAATACCAGCAAGCCTTTTAGGGGTCTTGTCTGCAAGGATATCTTTTGGTATTTCTCCCAATGAAGTCTATGCACTCCCCAACTATGGAAGCCAGCCCACAAATTGAGGGGGTAGAGGCTGTCCTGTAAGGTTGGATTACCACTCAACTGGCCTTTGCTTGGGGATCTAGCAAACCTCAAATGTGGTGGAACCACATGGGCTGCGATGTTTTTTGGGATTCCCTGAGCGATGCCAAGGGAGCACCTGGCCTCCATTTTGGTTGGATCTTTGGAGTTGAACCAATTTTTTTCGGGGAAGGACGCCTTGGCTGCCATCCGGTTCCTTAGCCTTTTAGCTTTTTCGTGTTTAGTGGTCCTGGGGTCATTGTTTTGACGGTTTCTAGGGGTTATCAAAGTCAGTAAATGGGGTTGTTTTCCTTTAACCCACCACTTAGGGGTGACTTTGATCATGGTAAAATCATGAGGCCAGCGGTAGTTTCCATTTCACCCACTCAAAGTTAGTCACTTTTCGCGGGGGATCAGAAAACGGGCAGCCCAGAAGCTGCTGGCCAGACCTCGAAAGCATTTCTTTCAATCGGCGCTGAATCAAAGGTCAAGGTCGCACAGGCGACCTCGAGAACCCCCCGGCTTTGGGTGTCAAAGCATCAGCTGGTGGGTCAACAATTTGAAGTGAGTGGTTCCTTTTGGGGTGATGTTTAGAGGTCGAAATGCAAGGAGAGTTTGCTCCAGGCTGTCTGGAAAGTCAGGGTTTTGCCCAACTGAAACCAACGCTTCCTGGAGACTGTGAACCCAATACTCCTTCCCTCCTCCGTCGCTCCTTGCGAAGGTGGATACAGACTACGACAACGACATCACAGCAGCTGACCGAGAGTGGGCTTGTCTCAAAGTTCACCATGGGGCCTGGCCTTCATTTTTGAAATGCCCAGGTTTCAGAGTTGAAGCAACCAGAAAAGGCGTCTCCACTCAACCCAAAAGGGAAGCCTAAAAGACTGAGAGGCCCAACCAGCCTCGAGTTGATGCCTGTGGTTGGAGTGGGGGTCGATTCCCAAGGTTGAGACACGACATTTTTGCGCGTAGGACATGCCCGCCCGCGGTTTCAGGTTGGCGAAAAATGTTTAAAGGTAAACCAAAAAGGACAACCACAACTTCCCCCGCCACTTGGACACATGTCCATATCTGTTGTGTACAAATCATCATGGACATCTGTGAATCTCGTGACGCTCGCAGGGCTTCATGCACCGAGTTGAGTGCCATGAGGGCTCCTGATTGGTCATGAATTGCTGTCGGTCCTAAGATGCCTATTAATTTGTTTAGAGTTCTCAGTTGTTCAGTGGCACCATTTTTTTCCTTTTTTGGTGGCTGCCCCACTAACAATGGTCTTCCCCAAAAAGGGTTCCCTCTTTTCCCAGGGTCACTGAACAACTGAGAGTTGGAGCAACCTCACAAGTGGCTGGTGGATATGAACCTCCATCTACATGATACGCGTCAAAGGATTCGCTGGTAGAATTTGCACATATTTCCTCATGGAGGGAGCGAACATTAGTTGCGTGACAGCAATCAAAGGGGTTTCCCTTAACTTGCGAAATGTGATTATGTACCCTTGGGTTTGTCACATTTTTGAAGGTTGCCGGACACGGGCAAACGAGAGAGTCGTGGACACATCAGGATACACGCATTTTTTCACGGGGGCACCGCCAAAAACAGTGCTTGGACATGACTTCCCGGAGTCCGATGCTCAAGGGTCCCTTGCTCACCCCCAAAGTCGGCATGGACCAAGCCTTGGGCCCCATAGCACCGTAGGACCGCCGGGCCCCGCAGGTGACCTGCCTCAAGGGCGCGCTGAGTGCCGACTACTCGGCGTGCAAACCTGCCTGCCGGGGCGCCAAGGCGGCTGTTGATTCTCAGATCAGCCCTGCGGTTCCTGAGCTTTTGTGGCCGGCGCGATAGAGAAGGAGCATTCTGCACTTTCGAAATGAACCGGAAGGGGATTCCCGAAAGGAAACCATAGGGGATGGCTCATTCCCAGCTGAGAAGCAGAAAGGTTTCAGCTTTTTAGTTAGTCACTTTTAGCAGGGGATCAGCAAACGGACAGCTCAGATCGGGGGCGTTCTGAACATGGTGGCCTGCGTTTTGGGTGGTTTTGGAGGGATGCCAAAGCAAACAAAGCCATTTCGGGGGTTTCCCGAGTTTGAACACCCACTTGAGCCAAGTCCTAGCCTGGACCAAGCTATTCTGGGTGAAGTATAACGACCTCAGACGACCTCACCCCAAATGGTGGTGTATGTGGGGAATAGCCTGATTTCAGGGCGGTGAAGTACAACAATTCACCCAGAAACTATGCGAAACATGGAGAGCTTTTGCAACAGGGTACCAGGCAGATGAAGGCAGTCTCGGTTCGTTGATCTCCGTTCGAATTTAGAGGGTAGCCCGTTTGGTTGACCCACCAGAAGAGTCCCTGTTCTCCAAATTGGCGAACCTTCCAAATGGGCTGCCCTTTCCCTGTAGCATGGAAGCTGAAAGGGTGGTATTGGAGGAAAGCACCTTCATGATTGAAAGAGGGTCATTTATTTGGGGCTCGGGAGCAGCGGGACGCAGGGGAAAGTTGATCTTTGGGTCTCCAAACACACAGATGCTGTGTTTGGGGACCGGCTCCCATGATTTTCTCATGGTCAAAGTCAGCCCTATCTGGTCGGAACGCTGGCGCCATGTCGGTGGCTACCTTTGATCCCCAGAAACACGGAAATGGTCCCAGGAAGGGCCGGAAGATCGTCTTCCAGGACCCTTACTTCACTTGGCGGCTCCCAGCCATCCCCTTCGGCTTTTAGCATTTTAATGTTTAGTGGGGATTTCCATCTAACCCACTAAACGTTAAACTTTTAGCAGGGGATCTGAATACAGCCCAATTCAAGTTGGCGTTGTTTAAATTTATGGCGACAGAACTCGGGAGCTCGTGTTTTTTCTTCTTCTTTTTGTTCTTCCTCTTTTTTGTTTCTTTATATATATATATATGTCATATATATATATATATTGTTTTTGTTATCATCTTTTCTTTATTCTTCCTTTTGTTTCTTCCGGATCTCAAGAAAGGCTCCAAATCGACAAGAATTAGAGGCCTCACCACCAACTCCGCGATCCTGCCGCTGGGCTCCAACAATGTGGACGTGGCCGCCTCAGGAGCGATTGGTCGGGTCCTTGCCCCAGCCCAGTGAAGCCAGTTGTCTTTCTTTTTTTTGGGCTGTGGGTCAAAATATGCAGGGCTCCCTAAAAGATACATTTTGCCCATTTGAAATTTGCTTTTTCTACCAAAATAAAGGGACACCACCATTTACAAGGCGTTGTTCAGGTGTACTGTGTAAGAATCCCTGATATGTACCCAAAATGGGTTGCCCTGGTAAATGGAAACATGGACTGAAATCTGCGGTCCAACTCCTGGTTTAATTTCTCCTTCCCACGCCCTTTTGGGAAGGGTTCCGATTCCTTGAAACTCCCTGATTTTTGGCTTCGGCCAGGATGTGGGCTCCACTCACTCCATTTGGGGTGGGTGGGATCTTGAGCAATGTGGCGGAATCCCATGGAAATCCACTGGCAGGGCATCCGAGTTTCTTTTCTGCTATTTGGTTGGATGTTTAGATCTCAGAACCAGCTACAATCAGCTACAGGACATTCTACAGGACATCGGCTTGTTTCCCTTTTTGTTTGTTTTTGCTAAGTTGGATCTCAAGAGATCTCAGAAACCAGCGACTGGTCTTTGGTGGGTATTTGGCCAACTGCCCATGGGTTTCTATGAGACTTTAATTCTTTGGGATGATGTTCTCCAACCACGGGGTTGAGCCATCGGCCCCAACGAAAAGAAAGGGTATCCGGTTCAAGGAGATACATGGCTGTGGTGGTCAAAACCCCAAAAAAGAACCTGGTAAAAATCAAGGAGGGTATTTGGATTGTGACTCAACCAACCTTTTGTCCTTTGTGGCTTCCATTTTTTCGCTGTTGACGAGCAACAAGATAACTATTGCACGAGGCCTGAGTCTGGGCAAGGAAAAGGGTGGTCTTTTGGTTCCCCTTTCACTACTCCCCTGCAGTGGGGGGGGGGGTCGAACATTTTGAGGACTTGGTAGACCGCGAGTTGGATAGACGTATGGCCAACCTCCCTAATGGTGGAGAACACCTGTTTTCAACTAGCCCTCAGAAAAGCGTTGCGCAAGGGCCTGTATCAAGGGCCACCTTGGTAGCAAGCGCGCATTGCATCTCCCACATGCTTGTCTCAACAAGGCAGTGGCCTAGTCAATTGTGCAGGACAGATGAAACCAAGCATTTGGACGCTTTTCTTGTTTGTTGGGGGTATTTGGGGTGATTTCAAGTTTTTTTTGGGGGGTATTTGGCGAGATTCAAGCTTATTTCAGACGGAAGCCACCACTTTGAGATGTCTTATCCCCACGCTTTTACCCCAACATTCAGGAGGCTGTGGTTGTCAAAACCGTTTTGGGATCCCATTTTGGTTGGTAGGTGAACTCACCACCCATTTTAGAACCTATAGTGGTTGGATTGGGAGGTTCACTGGGGGTACGGGCTGTTGGTTTTGACCCATGGCCATGAAAGCAGGAGGGTTTTGTAGGATGAAAGGTTTTAAGAGGAGGCCAAATATGTCCACATGAATGTTTGAAAAAGTGCGTTTCTAGGCGACTCCCCCAATAGGTGACCGGGCCCCTAGTTATCCTTGTACTTTTCGAAAAGTAGATGGGTTCTATAGATAAAGGAGTCTCAAACCAATCAACCAGTGGAATCCATGGCGATTCCCAAACTGACACCTGAAACGGCATGAAGATTTTCCTAAGCCAGATGAAGCATCGCCTTTTTGACCAAGTGTGGCTGAATTGCTTCTTGATGCTTTGGTGGAAATTTAGGGAGGGTCCCTTGAAGGATACCTCCGGGCCAATGAACAATCAACTACCCAGCCAGGGTTGTTGTTTAAAGGTGTCCTTCAAGAAGCTCCTCTAGGTCCCCCAGCTAGGTGCCCTTTCACCCTTTCTTTTTGGGGGAGGGTTCCCCTACTAAAATAGACTACAGAAAAAGAAGTTGGCACCCTTATTCTAACCTCTCTACTGGAGGACCTAGACAATCAATCAACTACCCAGTCAGGGTTGTTTTTAAAAATGTTCTTCAAGAAGCTCCTGGACGATTCATGCCAACCTCCTTGCGGATATTCATGAAGCAGGTTGAAGGTTTTGTCTCCAAATAGGGGAACCCAAAAAGGTGGTTTCCTTTTGGTTTCCTCAAACCAACCTCGAGCAAGGGTACCCTCAAAAAAACGACTCGCCCGGAAGTGTCTGGTTCCGCTTCAGGTCTTCCCCACTGCACGCATGGCGGATGGGGAGTCCTTCACCAAGCAATGCAGTGCCCGCCTGCCGAAGCTTGATTTGTGTCTGTTGGTTTTTCGCAAGAAACACGGAACCCACGGATTTTCACCATGGAACCCACGGATTGCACAACCCCACCCCATTTTTAGAGCTTTCTTGTTGTCTAATCATCTCTCTTCTTTTTTATTTATTTATTTTTTGTTTGTTTTTCGTGCCTTTTTCTGGGCTGTGGGTAGGTGAAGTTGAAGCCCCTTTTTTTGGCCAAGCGGAGCCCTTCCCCGGCCAAGTTGAGCCTTGAAGTTGAGGCACCTCAGCCAGGAGCGAGCTCAAGACCCAAAGTGCGTACGGGAATTCCCAACAGTGCCAAGATCCGGTTCGGGAATCACAGAGAAGTGCCCCAATCTCTGAATCTCCCTCTTTAAAAAATGATTCTTGTGGAGAGTGGACTTCTCTACGAGGCTTTTTGGGCAACTGACGACAGTATTGAGGATATGGGGGGGCTCACCCAAAGTTCCAACACAGAAAAACAGCGCCCAACAAATGGTCCCATGCTCTTTGGGCTAGTGATATGTCATCGCGGAGAATCCCAAGCCAGCATGAAATCCCCATTCCTTTGCAGTTTCATACAACTTGTTTGCAGCGACATTTCCGGATGCGAAGCCTTTGGAATGATACAGGTACTGTTGTACAATGGTCCAACCACCCTTTAGTTTGTACTTGGTAGGGATATCGTTCTCAGCCCCTCAAGGAATTTGGACACCCATTGTGCAGGTGTCTTTTTCTTTGGAAGCATGGCCATGGCCACTTTAGGGCTATGGCACGCAAACCCCAAGTGGCAGGTTTCCGGCTTCCGGTTTCCTGCGCTGTCCAAAGGGAGCTCCCCTTGCCCACTGAAAATTGCAGTCGGCTCCCTTGGCAGATGGTTTGGCGCGACCGATTTCCAAAGACCCCGAAGATGCCTTTTGGAAATGGCTTTCCATGAGACCTAGTATCAGGGGCTAAATAGTTCCTAACAATATGCCCTGGTAATCATGACCAAAGTTGATCTTAAAGCACCCCACAGCCACAACGAGTGATCGAGCTGTTCTGAGCTTATGACACCACAAAAAGCAAAGAGAAGCCAAACCACTGGCAACAGAAAGGGACCAACACAGGGGACACCACACGTGGACGCCAAAGCATGTGGAACAAGCTTCAAATGCGAAAGGCTCGAAGAAAACCGGGACCCCAACCGATGGCGCGTTGTTTTTTTCTTTTTTTTGGGGGGGGGGGGCCAGGACTTTGGTGGTCAACATGGGGGCACTGTGGAGGCGAGGGTCAGGGGGTGGGTTGAGGCGCTTAGGTCAACAGACCCAGGAGGACCTCCCCCCAAAAAGCCGTTTTTGGGGGATTCCAGAAAGGACTAGGTTTCTAGCAGTGCCCTTTCTCACCCCTTTGGTTGGGAGATTCGGTTCCCCTACTAAAATAGACAAAGCTGAAAAAAGTCGGCACCCTTATTCTAACCTCTCTGGACCTGGAGGTGTTGGGCGTTGCGTGAACTATTGGCAAAGTTGGGTTGAGGAACTGGCAGTCGGGCAAAGAACAAAGCTGAGGATGTCTTTGGTGCATGTCGCCAAGGGATGCTAGGACTGTAACTTTCTGCCAACTAACGGCGTTTTCCATGAAACCGACTCCATTCAACCACTAAAAGTTAAACTTTTGGCAGGGGAGCAGAACCCTCCCAAACTATTGTACGGAAGGCTAGTTACACACATGACCCTTGCCCGAACACTTTGGAGGGGTAGGGAAATAATGGGTGTGTCTTCTTTTTGAGGATGCGAGTAATTCCTTTGGGGTCTTATAGAGTTGGAACCAAAAGTAAACCACCCACGTGGGCCCTGTTTCGAGAATAGCCCAATGGAGTGCCACGAGGGGTCATCTGATCCAGACGCATTGTTTTGCTGACATGGCTTTGCGATTTGAGGCCTTGCTTTGTCGTTTTTTGTTTTGTTTCTCCTTCTTTTTTTCCTCCGGACTTTTTGTGCTTCCTTTTGTTTCTTCCTTTTTTTAGAAAGGAAGCCAAAGGAAAGCCAGCCAATTGGCGGGGGTTGGTCTCAACCAAGCTGCATCAGATCCACAAGTCTGACGTCGCTTTGCGGGGCTCCACTTTTCAACAAACCCGTATTCTGACGTCGCTTCCCATGCACCAACTTGGGCAGGGCTCCTTAAAAGATACATGTTGCAAGGTTTTTTCCACCAAAATAAGGGGAAACCACCATTGACAAGGCAATGTTCAGGCGTATAATGTAAGGATCCCTGTTGGGATTGGTTGGTGAAAAGGCCCAACCCAAGCAATGTTTCGGATTTGGCGGATTTTGATAAATGAAAGACTGTGTTTGGCGGATCTCGAGATATCAGGGCCTGTGGGCAAAGGGAACACCCAAAACCCGCCTCGAGATTCCTGAGACATAGTGGTGTTCCTCATTACCTTTTGCTGGGGGTTGGTGGGTGGTTATTGTAGCCAAACATTTGGGTGAATCAGGTTTTAACAGAAATCAAGAGGAAAGCCCTTATGAGTGTGTGTGTGTGTTGGTTCAGGGTATCCTTTCTAGGCTTTACTTGTAGGGGCGAGTCCAAAGGACACGGAATCCTTGGTTTTTTTGGGGCAAACTGTTTGATGCATACCCAAACGTGATTTCCATTTGGGCCTTTGTTTCAAACACAGTGTCCAAACCAAGTGGACCCTGATTGCTTTCCCGGTCGGCTTCCGCATAGCCGGCCCGGTTCCCAATTTTACAGCCATGCCCTGGTTTTGACGCACTGGGTTCCGCACGTTCTTGCACCCTCTAAGATAACAATCCTTACCAGGCGAACAACTCGTGCTTTGCAACATGTGCACATCTTGACCATCGCTTACATGGCATTTTCCTAGGGTCCCAAGGATATTTTTTTTGGCCAGTTGACACATTGTCCAAATAGTCGCCGATTTGGAGGATTCGAACCCTTGTAATCTTCCCCGTGTTGATAAATGCACCCAATTAGTTACAATGATTTTCCAACCACCCCACATTGGCAATAGCCACTAAACCGACCGTTTCCCGCCGAGCCCAACTCCAGCCTGATTAGCGGACATTTTGGAACCAAGACTAGACCAATAGTCAACTGATTTTGCACCAATTCGAAACCAGCACAAATCAAGAACACGACTTAAGCTTCCGTTGTCGACACTTCTTGCTCGGAAGCTGGGATTTTGAACAATGTTTGGCCCCCGGAAAGGGAGCGTAGCGGAACCTCCCGAAGGCGCACATGTACCCTATTGATGTTTCAATAAACTCCGCAGGCGAGTATGTCTCTGGGGGTGAAGGGCCTTTATTGTTGGGGGGATGTTTCTTGTTGGCGGGGGAGAAGGGCGGTAACAACCTTTCTTCATTCTTTTGGGGGAAGGGATTTGGTTTGTGGATGTGTGGCTGTGTCCTTCAAGGACCCCTGTGATACTTCGGGCGTGTCCTTTTTCGAGGCTCCCCTTTCTGGGTTGCTCTTTTAACGTAAACCAAAATGGATAGTGAGCATCGAGTGCATCTTGGGGGTCCCAAAAGCCGCACCCAACTTCTTCCACTTCCCCGTGCGCAGGTGAGCTGTAGCTGGGACCTCAGCTTCGGCACCGTTTTTTTGGGGGGTTCCCCCTTTTTAAAAAAATAATACATTTTTTCTCTTTAAAAAAACAACAACATGGAACCGGGTTCCGCGGTGACAACAGATTTGTACCAGATATCTGATTGATAAAGCACGATTCCCGGGGAATCACCGCCTCAGTCTCAATGATGGCAGCTTCAGCCACTTTGGCTGAAGCTGGAGATGTCTCCCAGTAAACCTTGTCTCGCATTCCTTGGGTCACCGGGTTCTCATTCATCCCTGGTGCAGGATTCGGTCCACACACGTGAGGTCTATTTTGTGACCATCCAGAGTATCGTGGACACGTGGGGTGTATTTTGTAAACACCTGCTTTGGGGTTTTGGTGTTTTAGGGGTGGTTTGGGCCTGCAACATTATCTCCAAGTGACCCCCCCCCCCAGAGGAAAATGTGGTTTCCTGTGGTGTCGCTCTTAAAACACACCTCAGAATGTGCCTCAGGAAATGGCGCAGCCAATTCAGCCAATTGGGTTTATTTTGCCGATTTCTGCACCAATGGGATCGCCGAAGCGACAAGGTGGTCATCAGAATCAACAACTTTTGTATCACCCCAGAACCCTAAACTTAACAACCCAAAAAGAAGCAATGGGCCACAGATTTCGTGTGAGCTTCCACACGAAGCGCCTCAGTGTACCCCATGGCAACCCTCATGCGGTTTGGCTGGACTACCATCCCGCGGGATCTTCCAAGGAGGCTTTTTATGGACTCCTCCACGGGGGCTTTCTTAACGGACCTCAAGTTACTCTCTTTCCAACAATGGGAAGCGGACGATCAGTGCGTTTGGAAGTTTGTCCTCTTGCAAAGAAACCTTGTTCACTTCTATGTTGGACAACGAGCAGGGGTCCCAGTGATTTCCCAACTTGACCCTTTGAAACTTTCCAGAAGAATGAGTTCCATGTTGGCGTGATCATGGAGCGAGACAATCCGGTACAGTCCCAGGGACGATTGTAAACGTTTGGCAGGCGCTTGTCTCTCGTATATGGTTCTCTCTCATGGCAAGCCTAGGTATGTGTCAAAATAGTGGTCCCCCCCGAAAATGGGCGTTGGTTTTCTTTGGTGTCTAGTTGCAGGGGCACCGGCAAAATCCATCCCCTGGTGACTTCTCCCAGGTATGGGCGTTGTGCCGGGTGCCCCAGAGGACCAGAAAATGAGCACCTGCCGCTGGTGAGCAAAAGGCAGCGGACTGTGACGACCTTTGGAGGGATGGTCATCTCAGTTGTTCAGTGGCACTTGTTTTCCCTTTTTTTGTGGCTGCCCCACTAAAAATGGTCTTCCCCAAAAAGGGTTCCCTTTTTTCCAGGGTCACTGAACAACTGAGTCATGGATTCTTTCGGGATAGAAACTTCCTTCAAAGAATCATTTTTGGCTGGTTCGCGGGCTGCAAGACGAAGCACGCGACAAGCAAGCGACTTGTTTGGAAGGGGGAAAGAGGACGTCTTATTATTGCCCAGTTGCCCAGTGGCGCCCTTTCTTCTTTTTTTTTAGAGTTCCCCTTTAAACTCAGCCAACCAAAAAAAACGGACGCCCTTGTATTATTTTTTCCCGGGGAAATCCACAGGCATCTGAGATTTCTTACATTTCCGACACACGGTGGAAGGGCAGAAGCGAGCGTTTGGGAGTCCAAGCAGATGATTTGTTTCTTCTTTTCGAGAGAAATTCCTTTGGGATCTTTTCGAAAGGGAACCAAAAGTAAACCAGGTGTTCTTTTTGAAACTCGGCAAACATAATTCTGAGTTTCTTCTTCTGGACCCCCCAGGTCCGGTCAGATCCCCTGCTAAAAGTTTATATAATCTTTGATGGGTTAAATGGAACCCCCCCCCCACTAAAACTTAAGCACCTAAAACACCCAGGCTTTTTGTGGTTTTTTGCGATGTCCCGCGCACAGGGCTGTGGCTTCCAGCTGCCTGGTGGGCTGCGCCGCTGATGATGCCTACCAGGCCGGCCTGGATACGTTTAGCCCCGACTCGGGGGGGAAGCCATGGGTCCCTTTTTGTCTTTCATTTAAAGGGGAGATCCACAAAACGTTGGATTCTCTCCTTGGTTTCATTTGTTCATCCATTTGCTTTTCGGGGTATATGTAGATGTGCAATATAGTATCATATGTTGGGATCTTTTTTCTGTTGGTTTTAAAGGGAATCTATCAGTGGACATATGTTTAACTTGATTGTTTTCCAGGGGACATGTTCGCAAATGGAAGGCATTGATATTACAAGAAGGTTTCCCTAAGGAATAGCACCAGGTTGACCCATATTTTCACAATGCAACTGCCCTTTATTCGGGAGCTTGAGTGTTTCTGGCAGCTCAGCATTTAGTGGCCATGGCGGGTAGTTCTACCTGGTGTCTTTGGGCTGTATGGCAAGGCCTAGGTCTTTTCAATCATCTTGGTAGGACCACAAGCCAAAGGGTTTTGCCTCCTGCTCAGCTAAACAACTTTCAATCTCAAGGGAGCACGGGGGGAGTCACTGAGAGGCAAACCGGTGACCCTGGCGCAAAACCAATTTGTGATCAAACCCGTTCAACGGATAACCCAAATACTTGGTGGTTCCCAGCCATCTTCTTAGGTCTTTAGGTGCTTAAGTTTTTGGTGGGGGGGGTCCATTTAACCCATAAAAGTAATATATATACACTTTTAGCAGGGGATCTGACAACAGACAGCCCAGAATATATATAGTTTCCCCCTGTTGTGCCTTCTTTTGCGGGTCCTCTTTGGGTTATAGGTGTCCTTTTTGGCTTAGTTTGGTTAAACAATATATGGTTCCACTGCTTTAGACGGGGTTGCCCCATATGGGAACCCATCTATTTCCAACCTTTTAGGCCACCTCCTGAGTTCTGCACCCCTTTTTGGCCCGAGTTTTCTGAGTGTCCCCAGGGTGTAAGGGGACATCTACGGAGCCTCAGGGGAAACCCAAACCCAGGCCCCCCAGGGGGGGATCCCGGATGGATCTTTGGAGCTCAGGTGGACCTCTCCTTTGGAATCTTCACCGGACGCGTCGCAGCCGCCGCCTCAGGCGACAGGAGTGCAGTCTTCATACAAAGCCGAAAACTAAAGAGATGCGTGGGGTGCGTGTTTTTTTTTTTCCCCCGAGAATGGAGGCAGAAATGGTGGGTTTCTTACAGGCGGTTGCATTTTGAGGTGTGCTCAAAAAATCACTTCAAAAAGGCGTTTCCTTTGAACCACAAGCAGGGTAGTTTGGACAGGGCTCCTTAAAAGATACATTTTGCCCATTTGAAACATGGCTTTTTCCACCAAAATACAGGGAAACCAACATTTACAAGGCCATGTTGAGGTGTATATAATGTAAGGATCCCTGTTTGGAGGATGTGAGTTTGATGAACCCAGCAGCAGCTTGCTGGTCTTGAACTCAGGCGGACCTTCTGGACACTGTGACCGGCACTGCGGACCGACGGCGAGTTTTCAACTCTCGTGCATCGCGCGTGCTTGTGGTACAAGGGGCTTAAATGGGTATGGGTTTTAAAAAAGAATAACCACCAGGGGACCGCAGGTTTTAGTCCTTGATTCCATTTACCAAGGTTCCATTTTGGGTACCAATTTTTGACCCACAGCCAAATACTTGGTGGGGTTGGGTACCGTGAAGCTAAGTTTAGTCATGACCGTGGGAAAGTCATATTGGGAGTTGTTGAGATGCAGCCCCTTGCATTCTACTTGTTGGGGTTGTTTAGGGAAGCCAAAAGGACACCGGGCCCCAGTTGTTGGGCTCCTTTATTTAGAGGCAAGCCCATATGATAAGTATGGTGTTCCAGAAAATAGCACCTTGCAAAATGATGGGCCCTTTTTGGTTTTCCTTTAACCAGCATCAAAAGAAAGGGCATTCCCCGCTTCAAGACACATGACGCCGGTCTCAGCCACTGATTGGCGCGCATATGAGCCTGTGGTCCATTTAGCCTTGCTTTGGGTTCGCATTTGGCGGCACCTAGACAACCAAGTTGCTTTTTGTTTCAGTCACTGTTGCTGGTTTTGGGGGTGGCAAAGTGGATGGACAACAAACGAAAAAAAATGCAACTGGATTGATCCAGGCACTGCCAGTTCCAGAGTGCTTTGGTTCTACGGGACCTGGATGCTCCCCATGGCACTGCCTCGGTTTCGTGGAAGTTCGGCCACGAGGACTGCCCAGTGGGATTTTCCGGAACTGTGAATCTTCAATGTGCCAGCCTCGGGCGCGTTGCATTTTTTTGCATATGCTTCCTTTGAAGTTGGCTTGGTTTCCGCATAAAATGGGATGGTTCCCCCTGAGGATGGGATGGTTCTCCTCAAAAAATCGGGGGGTCTCCCTTCAAGTTGTAAAATGGGTCGGGTTTTCCGTTAATGGCACGGTTTTGGCATGAGGTTGCGCTCGGTCGACCTAGCTTGGCCCTTTTCGGGAGGTTCCCGTGAGCCCTGGCTTAGGGCCCTCAGCTCCAAGACAAACCTTTGGGGCGGCCGAAAACCCGTCAGACCCATGGGTTCCAATCAGGATAGACACGAGCAGGAGTTGTTCTTTGTTGCATTTCGCCAAGGGATGTTAGGACTTTAACTTTTTGCCAACTAAGGGGTGTTCCATGCAACCACTAAAAGTTAGACTTTTAGCAGGGGAGCAGAAAGCAACTGAGAATTGTGGGACGCGCTTTCGGGGGCGCAGAGACCTTTGTCTTTTGCCGTGTCTGTGACCCCGATTTTGTTCTTTCTGATCAAACCATGGCAGGCCTCCCACGCGTTTTGAGCCATGGTTTGTCTCAGCATGGGGTAGGCACATTTTGGATGACTGAACTGTTCCAAATTTGAAGCAGCCATATTGTAAGAATAGACCCACATGAATTAGCAACTTGGAGTTCTGAGCTCTTTCCAACTAGCACGAACCGCTTATTCCTCCCGCCTTCCCTAAAATCAAACACCTGACTGGTGGTCCCAAGCCCATCGGAGCCTTTTGCCAGCAGGTTGGGATGTGGGAGCACAATAAAAAGAGAGCCCCTGAAGCTTGCCTTCGGTGCGAAGGGACCAACCATGCCGGGTGTTGGCAATGGACCAGAAGGGGATTCCCTGAAAGGAAGCCATGGGCTTCGGACGGTTTGGGGGTCATTCCATTTCTCATTCCCTGCCTATCGCACCAGAAGGGAGAAGGAGTTGTGTGGCTGTGGTCGTCAAAACCGTTTTGGGATCCCATTTTGGGGTAGGTGCACCACCCATTTTAGGTGGGGATTGGGATGTTCACTGGGGGTACGTGCTTTTGGCCCATGGCCATGTGTCCTTATACTGGAACCCCCACACCGTAGGTAGGGACTGAGCTCAGGCAACGCTGGCACTCTTGACGTGACGTCAGAGACCTGCACGCGGGGGCTCCAAGGTCCAATCCGGCGCTTGAGCAAGCATGCTTGGACTACACCAGTGGTGCGTGTGTGTCTGTTTTTGAGGCAGATGTGATCCACTCTTGCCAGATTCAATGGACATCAAAAGGAACACCCTCCTTGTCGGGGGGCTCCCCGCTTTTTTTGACTGACTCGGTCGCAAGGCCGTGAGGCCCGGAGGCAGTCCTTGGCTTGCCATTTTCTGCTCCCAGAAAAGCCTTCGGCCGGCGGACCGGATGTCGAATGCAAATTGAAATGCGGCTTGAAAGGTTCCAGGGCTACTCTCCGAAGGCAATCGAATTCGCACACGTCGGGAGGTCCGCAACAAGGAACGAGGGTTCAATCCTGCCTCCCGGACTGCACCACTCGGTCCCCCAGTAGTGTTCTTCTCTCCCCTTTTTTTGGGGGGAGGGTTCCCCTACTAAAACAGACTACAGAAAAAAGGATACCCTTATTCTAACCTATGTACTGGAGGACCAAGACCAGAACCTCCCAGCTTTAAGCAAAGCTTCACGTAACCTCCTCTGAAGCTGCACGGGGACACAAGACAGGCTTTGACACGTGCGCCCCCCACGCATGGTCTGAATTGTTCCCTCCGACAAGGAACCCGGGCTATGACTTTTAGAGGAGCGCACCTTTCTTCCTGCCCTTTGCTTAAGAACAAGTATATGTTCTGGCTGGTTTCTTTTTCGCGGGAATCTATCACTACCGGATCTATTTGCTCCTTGTTTTTTTGGGGACTCAAAGCAAACGGCTTGAGACACCCCCCACTGGGGTCAGGTTGCCCGCACCAGAGCTGCCGCGAAAAAAGAAGAAGGACCCAGCGGGGCTTCTTTTTGATCGATGTTTGGTGGACCTCGTGTGAAACCCCAGGCATGTCGGGAGAAACAAAAAACCCAAGGCATATTGGGATAGAAACAAAGCAACGTGGTGCCGATGTGTTTTTCCAGTAGGTTTCCCTTCCCTTTGAATTGAAACGTCACGGGTGTGGTTCCTGTTGAGGGACCCCCTTGGTTGTGATTTTAGCGAAACCAAGGGTGTTTGAGCAACGAACAATGCTATCTTTGGGTATCGGTCTTGGGTATATCGACCATCTCCTGCTGGATTATGGTTTTAATATTCTTTGCGGCAAGCTAGTACGGCAGGAAACGAGCTGACCCATGAAGGTTCTCTACCAGTAGATTCCTTTTGTCAAAATGTCCAGTTTGGTAACATCAGCTTCTTTGCCCGGAGATGGCCGTTTCGCTTTTCCTGGAAAGCTTTCAAAAGGCTGGTCCCTTCACGGTGGCTCTTCTCCATGACTCCCTCCATGAGATCCGCTTTCGGGGGCCCGGAGAAAAACGTTTTGGGCCATAGCCATACGCCATAGCTGTGACTGGGATCCTCGTAAAAAAAAAATCCTCCCCACCCGGTGACCCAAGAAATTCATGGCGTATGGCAGCGAAAGGATGCGTCGAGAGAAAGGGGAAGCGTCCCCTTCGGGGGGTTTCATGATGTTGTTGGGAAGCATTTGACATGCTTGCTTCTTGTGGTTTAGTGGTTGAATCCAACCACCGAACTGTTTATTATTATTTTTTGAAACATGCTCCCCTTCCAAACGTCAACCAAGGTTTTGATCGAAGAAAAACATGTCTGAGGCCACTGCCTTGCCCCAACATGACGGAATACTACTTGGAGTACGAAGACGTGGGCCAGCACCACATGTCTTTGGTGCGCCCAGCGGTGTCATGGGGCGTGGGGCACGGGTCAAGTAGATCCCCTGGCCACGCAAGCAAGCGGAATTGGAACAGCGAGCATGTGAAGGGCGCACACCTACGCCTTTTGTTGTACAGTGTTGGCGCACATGTTCCTTGCTGTTGCCATTTGAGGGCGTCCAAATCCACGACAAAGTGTTTCGAACCCGCGAACAAGCGCCGCGAAAACTTGAACGAATCTGTAAAGTGAAACTCATTCTGGTTTCTAGGACAAATCCTTTTGCTGTCATCAAGACACATCCTTTTGCTGTCGTCAAGAGGTCACAAAACACAGAGGCGCACATATAGCTGTGGATCAAAAAGGGGTATCCATTTCGAAACCCTAGTAAATGGAACCAAGGACTAAAGCCTGCGGTCGCCTGATGCAAAAACCCTAAACCTAAACCCTAAAAACCCTAAACCTAAGCCCTAAAACCCTGAAAACCCTGAAATCCCTAAACTAAACCCTAAAACCCCTAAACCTAAACCCTAACAATCCAAAACCCAAACCCTAAAAACCTTAAAGCTGACCCGAAAAAAAAAAAAAAAAAAAAAAAAAAAAAAACCTAAACCCTAAACATCCTAAACCCAAACCCTAAGAACCCTAAACCTGCCAGCACGATCATACAGCATAAAAAAGACCTTGTAGGCGACACGTATGTTTTGTGGGTAACAATGATTTGCAGAAGAAGATCTGCCCAGCACCAGGAAGCAATCCTGCCACCGATGATTTTTCTCCTGGTGCAAGTGATTGGTATCAGAACCGGCTTAGACAATTCACGTTTCAGTGATTCTGAAAAACCGGAATATCCGAGCCTATGACCAAACCTTTGTTGCATTTTGCTTGGATGTTAGGACTTTAACTTTTTTGTCAACTAATGGGTTCTCCGTATTAAACCGCTAAAAGGTAAACAGTACTTAGCAGGAAAGCAGAAAGCAGCCGAAAAACCACAAGGCTGGAATCCGTGAAGGGGTTCCTTGGTTCCACACAAGTTCCGCCTGGGTGCAATGAAAGCAGCCGCTGCCCGCCTTGAGGTGGACTACGGGCATGACGAAGGCTTCTCCGTGCCCTGCAGCGACGCGAACCCGGAGATCAGCGGCAACCTGCAGGCGACGCTTGGGGCAGATGGATGGATCGTGAGCTGCAAGCTGAGAAGCACAAGTTCAAGGTGAGCCAGAGTCAAAACGGATTCAGGTAGTTGAAGCCAGGGGACGTTTCCCGCCAGAAACGGACTCGGCGCGAATTCTTGAAACGCATTTAGAAGGGGACCGGGTTTTCGTGAAGAGAGAGTGACTTGGGTGAATTCCTTCCTGC